CCTTACCGTAGGGGCAAGGCTTTAGGCTTTTCCTTTAATTAACTGGAGCCGCAGTGGATGAGGGGAGAAGGGGAAAAAAATGGTGGCAGGAACGATGTCAGAGGATCAGAGAGATGATGAAAGAGCAGTGTAGAAACCCCCATGATGCTCTGCTCTCTGTCTTTTCCTCTCTTTCCCTCTACTTCATGACTCATCAATCATCAGTGACACAACAGTCCCTGCTTGGCAATCAGGCCTCTTGCGTCTCTGCTCTCAAAGTGAGATATGGACCCTTTCTCTCCGTAGCAAGCAACGGGTTACAGGAGTGAAACAGCCAAGAGGTTTAAATTATTTCATGTGTCAAAGTATTTGATGAACCCCCCGCTGCCTGTAAAGTTACTTTCTTTTATTTCCTTTGAATAAATGAGGGGCCCAAAGACGTGTCCAAGACTTTAGATTAACTGCATGGCTCCTTGGAAAACTCTATTAGCATTCACTTACAAATCATCCTAGAAACAGCATTCACAAGTCCACTAGAGTTCACTTGGGACCGAGTGATGTAAATTTCCTGATTTGAAAGCGACCGCAAGGGTCAGTGAAAACATTCGCGTGCCTGCTAACCAGGTAACGGACGTCAGAGAAGTTACAGGAGATGTGGTGTCTCCAGCATGTCCGGGTCCACAAAAGACTGTAATCGAAGCCTTGGTGTTATAGCAAGAGGGCAAAATCCCCTTATTTATCTCTATGCAGCATGCAGGAGACTTCATGTACCCTTAAAGACAATCACAGTTTAAATACAAGTTTCCCTATGTGTTTTCCATCAGCATGCAAGGAACATAAGGAGGGTAACCTTAGGATTAAGGAAGGTATGAAGGTAAAAACACCAAGTGGCTCGTTGTCACTGTAGATGGCTCTTATTGGCGTAATGGTGGGCAAGTGCACTGATGGCTTGTAAGTGCCTCCTGTCAAAAAGCACTCCACGGATCTGTTTTCTTTAAGGGCGCACACTGATAGACGGGAACACAATTATGTGAAACTGCATAACCCACATAAACAAACTCAGAGTTACCGGCACGCACATTCATAAGACTCGTTTAGTGTCTCCAGTCTTCTACACAGCCATTAGAAAGAGATAAACGCTGATGATGGCTCCCTGCACAGACTAAAGCAGGAAATCAATTCACTGTATGGGCAGGAAGTGTTGTATTTTTGCCCACTTCGCATTAAAAATTCTGCTGACTGAACGTTCCAGTGGCACCATAACGAACAGCATTGCAGTTCAGAAAAGCAATGATCGCGGGAGCAGCCTGCCCACCGGGTGCCCACGATTCACCTCTGCTCGTTTTTTTGGCTCGCTAGGGGCTCGAGTTGGTGAATCATTGCTTGTTGCACGGCGGGGACGAAGTGAGCCTTTCTCGCTCTCCGAGCCCATACCAATCTCCCATGTCTTCACACCTCTGTAGCCACTGGGCGAGTCGTAAATCTCCAACATTGCACCATCTTTTTGTTAGCCACACTGGCACTTGTAATTTCTCTATTTACACACAGGCACACATAGAAGGATCCTCAGTAACGCTGCACTTAGCATGACTGTCACACTCAGGATGCCGATGGACACGGCTGATATGAGCTTTTCACTCCTTCACTGTACAGCAGAAAGCAGCTCACCACAACAAGCGTTGCTTAGAGACCATCTGTCAGTTCCCCACGGTCACCAGGCACTGTCGCCACGGTGACAGATGGACCTGCCTGTTGGAAGCCATCACTCCTCGCCGAGACCTAGTAGCACATACACACAGACACGCACTGTGGACAGACAACATAATCTGCTTAGTAATGGCTTCCGTTTAGTAACTGCTGGGTTGCCAGGTTGGTGCAACAGTTCCTATCTGTTGCAGGGTCGTGTACAAGGTGTACTGCCTTTTGTCAGACTGTACCCACCTTTGGCAGCTTGTTTTGCTGAATTTTTTGCACACAGATTTTGACTTGGTGTGTCAGTGCTTCGATTTTTATGTATTGATTCTGTTAGTAACAGTTCTTACTTTAAACTGTGCTAGTTTTTGCCTAAAATTCTTTGTTGTGGTAAACTCAGGGTGTTCATTTCAATTCAATTCAATTTTATTTATATAGCGCCAAATCACAACAAAAGTCGCCTCAAGGCGCTTCATAGATACAGAGAAAAACCCAACAATCATATGACCCCCTATGAGCAAGCACTTTGGCGACAGTGGGAAGGAAAAACTCCCTTTTAACAGGAAGAAACCTCCGGCAGAACCAGGCTCAGGGAGTTTTTTGAAAAGAAAACCAAGTCATCTTCCCTCAACTTCAGGTGTTTTATTTCCTCTGGCAATCAAACAAAAGTATTACTTCAAGCTACTTAAATTAATCTGTCACAGTCCTCAAAGATGCAGTAGAGTTCATTACTTTCCTGTCTTTGAAATTCACGCCGCTCTGTTGATATCTTCAATCATAAAAAAGAAAAATCCTAGTAGTTGGATTATTGGCTCTTACGAAAGAGTCTCGTGCCACTCATGTTTAAGATTTGTTAAGCAGAGTAAAATGAGCAAAAGGGCCCACAGTGGTTCTGGTCCATTATTTGAGAGCTGGAGGCGCTGAGGATTTAGCTGAGCTCTCTCACTCAAGCTGTCAGTCTGCCGGCCAGGCCAAATTGCCCACCTGTCTAAAAATGCTCTTTCCCTCCTCGTGTGTGTAATTAGGACCGGAGGTTGGCCCAAACATTCACAATCCCTTCTGATCTGAGAGACGCACACAGATGTAAAGCTAACCTTTGCACAGTTGTGTTTTCCCTGTTTTTATTTGCTTTATGATTGAAACCGACATTTATTTCAATAATTGATTTATCTCAGGTTTTCCTATCCGATGTAGTTTCTCCAAAAGCATAAACTCTAAATGGAATTCATGCACTTGCAGATTTCAGTCTATTAAACTGGAATTTGATGTTCAAGTGAGGTTTGAGTCGAAGGCAACAAAAGACTGAGGAAGTTGTGGCACGCTTGTCAAAACACCTAGTGGAGTATCTTGCAACTAATTAGAGTACAGCATCATTAAAAGACTAGAAATATCGCTATGCAGCTTGCAAGCACAAAAATGAACGCCTGTCATGTTGTTATTGTTTAAATAACAAACATATTCAGTTTGTCTTTCAACTTTTAAAGCTGTTAATCAAAAAAAGCAAGCAAAAAACATGTGCTGCACATTATGAAATTCAGAAATTTGTGTGGCTGCAGAGCCGCTAAGAGGCACTGAGAGGGAGCAGCGGCAAATCAATTGCAGTGGACAGATGAAGGATAGTAAAACACTGTCCTGAGTCCTTGACTGACAGCCTCCTCGGTCCAAAGAGAAAACCTTGGGATTCAGTGGGATTATGTCTAGTATGCATCCTTTTTTTTTTATCAGATTGTTTCACACTTCTGAATGAACGATTCCTATCGATTTGAAAAGGGGAGTAGCGGGGAAAGAAGGAAGAACTGCAGACGCAACACAGCTGGAGCTGTCAGTTTTGAATGAACCCAGATGTCTGAGAGATAAAGAAGACAAGAGCGTGTGTGTGTGTGTGTGTGTAAGATGTTATCCTCTCATCTTCCCTAAAGGATTGACACACAGTAGTGGCCCATTTTCGCAGATGAAGCACAGCCTACTCTTGTGCGTGCTTTAACACATCTTTTGTATGTCAGAGGAGCTTGTGTTTGGCCAGCACTCCACTCGCTGCTGAACTGTAACGTTGTAGAGGGAAATAAAACCACACTTCTTGTATTTTCTTTCTTTCGCGCACTCCTCCACGCGTTCTCATATCCGTGACTTCACACTGCCGCTTTTTTCACGCAGAGCCGAGGGAGGGAGCGATGTGTTTAAGGAGCGCATTTACCTGGTCGGAGCTGAGCTGTGTTGGTATTTCAGTAATCTGTCAGTCTTTTCCGTCTGTGCGCGCGCTTTGTCGGGTACAACCATCTTGCTGCAAACGATATTTTCTGGTCACTGCTCACTTGGGCAGAAGCAGCGTGGCTGTCATACTTTAAGCACACCTTGATTTGTGTCAGAAGCCTGCCTGTGAGAGTGCATGTGTAGCTGCGTAGATGTTTACCAGCATGTGGGGGTGGGAGGGGAGGCTGAGATGGAGCGTACAGAAGAAGAAGAGGGAGGGAGGGTGATGATGCTGAGGGAAGAAAAGGGAGGGAGGGAGGGAGGGAGGGAGGGAGGACAGTGTGCAGTGAAGTAAGAGAGAGAGAGAGGAAGAGAGAGAGAAAGGAACAGGGACAGGAAAAAAAGGAAAAGGCAGCAGGGAAGGGAAAGACTGGGAGGACGCGCCAACTGCCTATAGATGTTGGAGCCTTTGACAGCGGAGCGCGGTGCTCAGCGGACACAGGAAGATGGTCTCAGTAAGAGGGGAACTGACGGTTGCCTATAATTTAATGTTCAATATCTTGGACTCCTTCTCCATGGGTAATGCTACGGCCAGGAACTCCAGAGCAAAGCTTGCTTTTCTCCTCTTTGACAATCTTCTTTTTATTCGCTTTAGGTGCTTTCCAGGATCCTGTCTTTCCCCTTAACTCTCACTCGTCCTCCCTCAAACACACGCTCACTTGTGCGCGCCTCCGTTGGGTAGCCAGGGTCTCGGCAGCGCTGGGTTAGCCCCCCGGCGCTGGCCGCGCTCTTCTGCCGCACCAGTCAAGCCAAAACGCTGGCCGCGGCAGCGATGCAGATAGATCGCGCTGCCTGCTCCCCACCTCCCCCACACCCCCCCTCCTCCAAAACGTAAGCCACGGAGGGGCGAGCGAATGAAATCAAGCAGGGAAAGAGAGGAAAGGAAAGAGAATGAGACGAGAGCTAGATTTGCTCTGTTGTGACAATGTTGGGGAGTCTGCGTTAATCTTTTTTCCCCCACCCATGTCTTTTTTTAAATTTCCCCTTTATTTTAATGTGAAATAAATGTTCTAACTCCTTTGGTAACATTTTTCTCTTTCTCTTTTTTTTCCCTTCTGTTTCTCTGTCTGGCTTCACAGGAGTGGCACCTGCAAAGAAGAGCCCAAAACTGGTAAGTAGTTGTTTTAATCTTAATTTTTACATCCATCCACCTCTGCCCACCTCAGTCCTCTAACCACATGTGTGCATCTTTCTGAGAGATGTTTCAATATCATCATCTCTCCCTTTCCCACCTCATCTCTAACTCCTCTCTGTGCGCTGCAACTTGTGCTCATGTTGTGGGTCGGTTTGTGGACATGGGATACTGTACTGCGCGGGGGCGGATTCCTGTAGCTTCACATCAGCCCCCCCCCCCCTTCTGACGGGGGATGGGACGAGGAGCTTTGATGCACCGCGTGTGCTGGGTTGCTAACACGCTGATGATCGCATCGCACTGGGTGCTAAGTTTGCAGTGTGAGCATTGATGTATGATCACAGCTGAGAGACTGCTCCATCCTGTAATGTCTTTATTAAAAGAGAGACCCCTGTAGACTTTGCAACTGAGGGCGTGTTTGCCAATATTGTTTTGCAGGATGATTTTGACTCTCCACACAGAGATTACACTAGGAGGATATGCAGTGGTGCTTTTGAAATGATGGTGCTGTAGTATTAGCGTTGGGTAGTTAATGGTATTCTCATAGCTGTGCATAAGTGGTACAGTTCAAGCGTCACTCATGATGCGCACAGCATGGGTAAGCCCCCCCACTGTGTAGGCACCACTAAAGGTGCAGGATATTTTACAGTTTTATAGAGAAGCGATGTGAAACATAAGGCGAGGGGGGCAGAAATGGCCTAGCAAAGACTCCAATCTAATCTGGCTTTGGAAAATGTGAAGGAAACTTTTAACTGTATTTTCATAAGTTTTACAGCTTAAAGACTTTCACCATTGCCATTCTCACTACACCAAAGCAGTTACGTAGGACATAAACCGTTAAATGTTAGTAAAAAAAAAAAAAAAGAGGAGCTTTTCTATCTACTACTAATTTCTTTCTTTTTTAAATATTTATCTATAACCAACTTTTAAAAAAATCTATGAATAACCAAAACTTTGTTTTATAAATACAGGACAGTCTGGGCAGTGAGCTACCAGAGTGTTTTCAGTAATTTTACTCGGTGGCACTATTCAAAGGACCCTGTAGACTGTGTCTAACAGACCATGTATTTGCCAATTTTGTTTTGCAGGATGATTCTGAGGTGGAATCTTCATACACAGATAACAGTAGGAGGGTATGTGATATTGTTTAGTTGGTGGGAAGGTTTCTAGAAATGAGGTGTTATGATATTATTGGTGTTGGTTTGATAATCCTTAGCTGATAAAAGAGATGGTGGATAAGCTGCCGGTGATAATTATAGCATTACATAATGTTTAACATTAACATTGTGTTTAGGCGTATGAGGCTATTTATGTGTGACAAATCAAATCATGACTCTTATGTCACTACATAATGCAGTGCATAAAGACATGAGTCTGCAGGTGACAGAGCAGTACAGAGCTAAACTTTAAAATTCCTTTTGGGTGCCGTACCTTCAGGCTAGATGAGATGGGAACCATCCATCGTTTTATCAGCGTACAGTTCAAAAGTCTTTATTTCAGGTATTACCAGAAAGACCCTGTAGACAGTGTCTAACAAAACGTGTTTGCCGATTTCATTTTGCAGGATGATTTTGAGCTGGATCCTCCATACGGAGTTAACACTAGGAGGGTATGTGATGTTTTTTTAAGATGGGGAGAAGGTTTGACTGAGCTAAACTGGTAAAACTTAAAATTCCTTTTGGGTGCTGTACCTTCGGGCTAAATAAGAGAGAAACCATCCATCTTGTTATCAGCACACAGTTCAAAAGCTTGCAATCATGATGGAGTGCATTAGTGCAGGAGTAATCCCCACGTCTTTCAAAGCACCATGCCTGAAGAACAAAAACATATTTCAGAGCAACACATGACACAATCTTGATGATGCCTTTTTTTTCTTTTTTTAAGAAAGCCCTTGCTTATTTCAGCAAAATAATGCACGGCATTCCTCACATATTACATGAGCAGGACTCTCTTTTTAAAGAGTCCAGGTGCTGACCTGACCTGTTGTGGGAAAGAGTCTGTAAACTGAGCATGTTTTTTGTTTTTTGCTTTGGGGGGGGGGGAGTTTGCAGGATGATTTTGAGCTGGATCAGCCTTACAGAAAATACATGTTTAGAACGGCTTTAGGCTGTGGTGGGTTTATGATGGTTCTGGTGTCCTCAGCAAATAGTAAAGGTTATGGATAAAGTGCCAGTAGTGCTGGTGTTATTGCATAATACATTTCAGCTCTACGAGGCTGCTTAGGTGTGACACAACAAGCTTTGGACCTTCTGAATGCTGGGTCCTTCTTGCTGAATATGAAATGAACCATTGATCTCATTATCAGTGCGCTGTTGAAAAGCCAGCACTCATGATGGTGCTATTACATACAGTATGGTTGATCCACACATCTGTGAGAGCAGCTCCAATGATACATTATATATGCAAGTTTTGGAGCAACCATCCCGATCATGACTTTTAAAGAAAGCCTCTTGTTATTAAAGCAAGTTGATCGCACGCTACACTCTGTAAATGTTACATAACCATGACTCTGTCATCAGAGACCAGGCGCAAAACTGACCCTTTTTATAACTTTCATTTGAGGTTTTATTAGAAGAACCCTGCAGAGTAATGTGTGTTTGCCAATTTTGCTTCACAGGATGAATTTGAGCCAGATCCTCGATATAGAGAGAACATTAGGAGGGTATGTGATGCTGTTTACATGACGTGAAGATTTTAGGATTAAGCTCCCAATGATAAATGTGTTAATGCATAATGTTTTTACTGTATTTACTCTTTGGTTGTGTGATGATGTTGGCAGCTTGGCATGACACAGCTAATCTTTTAATTTTGGGGAGATGTTGCATCCTTCAGGCTCAATAACAGAGAGGAACATTTATCTCACTACAAGCACATAATTTAACAGTCAGTGTTCATGATTGTATTGTACACAAAAATGATGATTTTTTTTTTTGTGAAGCAACCAATGCCAAACCCAGATAATGTGCTTTAAAAGACAGCCTTGCTTATTTCAGCAAGTTATTGCCAAACCACATTCTGCATGTATTTTGGAGCTTTTTTGTATTCATGTGTTTAAAAAATTGTTTTTCAGGATAATTTTGCAATGGCTCCTCCAAACAGAGATTATAGAAGAAGGGTACGTGATGTCATTTAAAGTTTTTGAGAGTGAGGTGTAATCATACTGGTGCTGGGCAGATGATAGAGATGGTATTCTTATAATGTTAATACAAAGTGATCATGTTTTAATGCATTCAGGCTTAAATTGTCTCACACAGAACGATATTATGTGTGACTCAACAAACTACTTATGACTGTTAATGCTGTGCTACATAAATCTACATATTACATGAGCATGGAGCCATAGCATGGAGCTCGGGTGCTACACTGGCCTTGTTGCAGTTTAGAAGTGTCATTCAGGAATTATTAGACTGGACATGTTTGCCAATTTCTTTTGCAGGATGATTTTGAGGTGGCATCTTCATACGCAGATAGCACTAGGAGGGTATGTGTTATTGTTTAGATGGGGTGACGGTTTTAGGAATGAGCCGTCATTGGTGGTGGTTCTATAATTCTTAGCTCATAAGAGAGGTGATGGATAAGGTGCCTGGGAGAGCAGTGTAAACGCTGCATGATGTAATGCCTTTATTAATAGAGGGATTCTGCAGACTGTATGTAACTGAAAATGTGTTTGCCAATATTGTTTTGCAGGATGATTTTGAGCCGGGTCCTCGATACAGAGATAACACTCGGAGGGTATGTGATATTATTCAGAGGTGGTGGAAGTATTATGAATGACAATGGCTATGGTGTTCTTATAACGGATGAAAGCAATGAATAAGCTGTCAGTGATAATCATGTTCATACTGGTTTTACTAACTGTGTGGTTGTCAGAAAAGTAAATGTGACTGTTAATTCTGTAGTACACAAAGGCAGTTAACCAAAGTCAAGCTGGCTGTTAGCTTAGTAGGACAATGGTAAACTTTGAAGTTCTGCTTAACCCAATGTTTTTCAAGGTTAATTAAGAGAGGAACTATCAATCTCATTAAAAACAAACCGTTTTAAAAAGCTGTTTCTGTGACAGCATTGGATTACAATATAATATGTATAGGTTTTAGAGCGATCCACATCATTCCTTTTAAAGGAGGGACGTGCTTATTTCACCAAGACGATGCCAAACCACATTCTGCACATTCTTATTTTTCAGGATAATTTTGCGATGGCTCCTCCATACAGAGATAACAGAATAAGGGTACGTGATGTCATTTAGACAAATTGAAACTTTTCGGGAATGACCATGTGTGCGTAGATGGTACGGTGTGGTCTTCTTATAAAGATAATAGAGGGGATGGGCATGGTGCCAAAGATCATGGGTTTAATGCATGAGCTTTCAATAGAATATTTTAATGCAAGATGCTGTTTATGTGAGGCCCTGCATTCTAGTTATTGCTGTTAATTTAGTAGTACATAAGGACAGTGAACCCAATTTAGGCCTGCTGTTCATTTTTCAGAACCGCACTAAGACTCCCTTTGGGTGCTGTACCTTCAGGCTAAATGAAACGGAAACCTTCCATCTTGTGATCGGCATACAGTTCAAGTTATCATTCATGATGGTATTGCACTGTATAAGTGTATATCTGTGACGGCCCCACCAATGCTGAACAACATATCTAGGTTTTAGAGGAACATATCCCACCATCATGATTATGCCCATTAAATGCTAAACCAAATTCTGCACATATTACAAGATCAAGAGGCCTTAAATAAAGAGTCCAGGAACTAAACTTTGCATGCTTGAACTTTGTCTGACAGAACATGGCTGCCAATTTGTTTTTGCAGGATGGTTTTGATGTGGATTCTTCTCACAGATAATATTCAAGGCGGGTTCAAGAAAGTCTTAAATTATTTCAGCAAGACAATGCTGAAATAACAAAGGACACAAGCATGACTCTATATCAAAAATGCCAAGTGCTAAACTGGGCTGGTTTTAGTGCAGATCTTTCTTTCTGATATTGTTAGAAGGACCCTGTAGACTGTGTCTAACAGACCATGTCTTTGCCAATTTTTGTTTTGCAGAATGATTTCGATGTGGAATCTTCATACACAGATAACAGTAGGAGGGTATGTGATATTCTTCAGATGGGGTGAAGGTTTTAGCAATGAGTCATTGTGATATTGATGGTGGTTTCATAATCCTGAGCTGACAAAAGACACAATGAAAAAGGTGCCAATGATCATTTTAGCATTACATAATGTTTAATCTCCTAGGACCTGGCGTCCACATATGTGGACATCACATTTTGGGATGTCTAGACCAAAATACTTAATTTTTCTCTACAAGGGCCTGATATGCACTTACGAGGACATTATACTGCCACTGTTCTATTGAAATTTAAAACCAATGTCCTCATATGTGGATCTCATTTTTCTCAAAAAGAAAAATTAGGTTAAAAAAAAATCTGGTAATTCTTTGTTTTTACATTCATCAGGTCCCAATAAACCCAAATAGCAAAGAAAACATTTAAATGCATGTCATGAAAGACTTCGGGTCTTAGGAGGTTAACATTGCGTTTAGTGTATGAGGCTATTTATGTGTCACACCTCAAAGAAATTATGACTCCTTGCGTTACAGTGCATAAAGACAGTGAACATGAGTCATTCCTGCTGGTGACAGAGTTAAACTTTAACATTCCTGTTGGAGGCCGATACCATCATGTTAAAAAGGAAGGAGCCATTAAGAGCTCAAATGCTAGCTTCTCAGGTGTGGCAATGCATGCCATCATTGAGATGATGCTTTTTAATGGAAGACCTTGCTTATTTTAGCAAGATGTTAGCAAACTACAATCTGCCTATGTTACACAATCATGAATACATTGCAAAAAGTCTAGTTGCTAAACTAAAATAGAACCCTCCTCTTGATAATATAAAAGGGTCCTATAGTCTAAACATGTGTTTGCTAATTTTGCTTCGCAGGATGATTTTGAGCCGGATCCTCGATATAGAGAGAACATTAGGAGGGTATGTGATGCTGTTTACATAACGTGAAGATTTTAGGACTAAGCTGCCAAGGATAAATGTGTTAATGCGTTATGTTCTTACTTTATTTACTGGTTGCTTGTGTGATGTTGTCTGTGTGCGACACAAAAACTAAATTGCTGTTAATTTTGTAGTCCATAAAGACAATAAAACATAGTCAGGCCTGATGCCAGCTTAGCATGACACAGCTACTCTTTGAATTTTGGGGAGATGTTGCATCCTTCAGGCTCAATAACAGAGAGGAACATTTATCTCACTACAAGCACATAATTTAACAGTCAGTGTTCATGATT